CGGAATCACTCCGAAAATTAGGATATCCGGGGAGTCCAGATCCGGATAAAGATAGTAAAATCTAGGATCCGTTAAAAGAGGATCCTGATCCGGATAACAAAATTTTAAGGTCCGGATATCCGGATCCGGACGCATTAAATATATTAAAAACATATATATTATATATCTATTAAGCTAATTTTATATAAATAAATATATATAAAAATTGATTTTAGTTTTTTTATAATAAATTATATTTATAATAAAAAATATCATTTAAAATATTAATTAAATTTTTAAAAATATATTTTTTTTATTTATTAATTATTTTAATTATTTTTAATATTAATTTCGGATCCGGATCCGGATATCCGTTTTTTTGGCCCGATATTCAGAGTCCGGATATCCGGAGGTCCCGATTTCGGATCCGGATAGTTTTTTTTACGATACGACGATTCCAGATCCGGATCCGAATACCTTGAAATTCCAGGATATCCGGATCTATTCCACCCCTAGTATGACCGAACTTGATTTGGTTAATCAGGAATATGGCTGTTCAGATACTTCGTGTGTCAGAAGATTACATAGATTCAACGCAGCTGATGAGAATAATGGATGGTCATTGGCTATTCACAAGGAACTGAAATATCTCACTCAGAACAATGTCCGGAATCTGATCACATGTTCTTCTGATCACGGTTCAGAAGGTAGCAAATCAACTATCATTAAATGTATATTTGATGGTGTTGTGTTAAGTGATGCAGGACCAACAAGAAGCAGAAACATCAGCTAGAGAGCATACAGGGACAACTCCCTTGTTAAATAATCCATGTGCTCACGCTTAAAAGAAAGCCGTGGGTTATCAAACTCTTTCTTACTCAGTTGAGTATGGAACCAACGTGTGAGGTGTGCAACCGTAAGACACAGACTCTGGCTGATTGGGGTATGACTCATGATATGTCTTTCCCTTTACTGGATTTCTTGGGTCTTACGTGGTGCTTGTTGAATTGTCAAGCTAGAATGAGAACTGAGCATATGTGTACGAAGCACCATTTGATTCTATAGTTTGCTAGGTGTTATCTAGTTGAGAGCACACTACTTTGTTCTGATGATCATTCTGCAAGACAATTTGTCAAAACTATGTTTTCAAAAATGGTTGCTAAGTCAAAATCCCACCTTGCTCCGAGCTGATCATGATCTCATCATCTGTACTGTGAAATTTATATCCGTTTTTKAGCTTGATATATCTTCTCTCCTTTGAGAAGATCAAAGTTTTCTGAATTCTCTAATCATGTACTTTATCTCCTGTGGGGTAACTTTCTTCCACCTTTTCTTCTCTCATTGAGAGGAAGACCATTCTCAAAATCAAAACCGAGCAATTTCATAACCGTTTTGCATTCTTGCGTAGCGGTCCATACGGGACCTGAAGATGCAATCGGCTTCATTTTGACGAAACCTAGAGGTATGGGTTGTCTTTCAACGTCACTACTCAGAGTGACCAAATCTATGATTTTCGGCTTAGCCGTGAATTTTATATCGACGCATCGGAAAATTTTCTTTGATTCGCTATCATATAATTATGATGTTTCTTCTACTTTAGCTTTATTGCTTTCATGTATTCTATTATGAATGAATGTAATCTCGAATGTTAAATTAATGAAAACAAAGTGTTGTCAAAAAAAAAAAAAGAATGACATGTGTGAAACCATTTTTAAAAAAATTATGGTGGGAAAGTGCCCCTCCCAAAACCAATGTACATTTGCCATTGTTTGTAAAAAAAATTTTTTTTTGCTAAAAGGTAAATATTGCATATAAAATGAATCGTTTCAGATTTACAATCGAGATTATTAGCCTACATAATGGTTCCACGATAAAAAAAAAAAAATTAAAGCATGGAAGCATAATCATGTAAGGTTTTTAGTCTGTCGGCTTGACAAAACACAAAATTTTGGAGCCAGGCGAAGTGATGACGATGTTCTGTGTTCTCCTCATTCGATTGCTAAAACTGAAGCAGCAATACCAAACCACATAAGTTTAAAAAAACCCAGCCAAGGCAAAAGAAGCATTTCAATGGAGGCCCGAGAACGAAATGTCAACAGTAGAGACTACGCAACCCTCGATCACATACTCCTCTCGCGTCATGTGAGAGTGGCTTGTAGCATAAACCATGAGCTAAAACAAGGATGAAATCTCACCAACTAAACAGAGATTAGCACAAGCACACCCTACCCAGGCTCATCCAGAGGTCAATAGTACAGTGCTAACTTTAATTATACGAGACTATGCCAATCCAATAGTCTTACTATGTCCTCTAATGCTCTTAGATCAAAAGCCACCAACCCCCTGTAGTAAG